GCATAACTTCAAAGATAAGGAAGCAATCACAGGAACTAATAAAGATCCACCGCGTCATTGAACAAATAAACAGAAGACAACACCATCTTGCCACCACTCTACCAAGAAAGCCTATCTCAGCAAAGCTCCTCAATATTAAAAGCCATATGACAGCAAGCTACTCCTTCTACACACTTCTGCAAACATTATCTCCAAGCCTCTCATAAGAACCAATAAGGAGGAATCTTTGCCTTCACTATGAAGAAAGGCATCTCCTAAGCTGGTCATCTCTCCACTATAGATACATATGTGTTAACTCAAGGTACACATCTTCTTCTACATAATAAAACTTGCTTGAGCCAAATCTGACTTGAACGTCGGAGTGTCTTGCAGGTACACCCCCCATCTTGTTCCATTGAAGACCCATGGGTTAAAGCTGCTCCAACTGCAAGATGCTCTGACTCAAGGAGGTTCCAAGCCATTTGTATAGAGGAAGATCACATGGTCAGCCCAATTGTAAAACTGGTTCTGATCACTTTGTTAGTAGTATACTCTTCTACAATGATCTCAAATTTCAGCTTCTAATATTGAAACAATTTGTGGAACAATAAATTATGAGGATATGACATGTCATTTCAATGTACATGAATTTAAAAAATATGAGTTCGCAACATCTGGCCTTTTGAATGTCTTTGAGAAGTGTGTTTATGGAGATTATGAGTTGCAATTTAAATTGACATAGTAATAACGTACATTTTCATTTATTTGTGATTTATGAACTTGTAAAAGTGTGATTGAGTAATTTTTTAGCTTATTTAGTGAATCTTGTTTAACTCATTTTAAATATAGAGAATATAATTAAATTTATATGTTTATATTTTTATATATCTCCGGGTCAACCGATCTGACTAATGATCCATCGAACCGACCAATAACTCAGTATCCTAACTGAGTCAATACCTGAGTCGGGTTTAATAACACTGGTGCGGTGTCTCTAGCCCATTAGGTTAGTTGTTCACAAAGTGATTGGTATTGATTATTATAATTGTAAGATTGCTTCAAAACATTTAATGGAATAATTGAAAGCAATCTAACGTTTTAACAATGTTATTTTAAGCCTAAATTCAATACGTCGTCCCTTTACATTTATTATTATTGGACAAAAAAAGTTTAAATTAATTTCACTCCTCTCCCAATTGTCTCTCTTCTACCCAAAAATTGTAGGTATTTGAAGAAGTGTAAGATTTAAAGTGTAGATGAAATAATTTTCCAAATTGAAAATTGACATCTGATAGGAACCACAAGTGTGTAATTAAAATAATCACATGGGACACATTGTTAATACCCTAAGCTAATGTTTGAAATTATGAGTAAAACAGATGGACAAATTATATTCTATATACCAAATTCAAATTCATAAACTATAGTGATTCTTAGCAAAATGATACTCTTTTCGCGGGCTCAGCACCCCATCAATGAAAATAGGTCATATCGCAATTTCGTAAATGGCGGACAAATTAAAATGATACTCTTCCCACAATTTTCAATTTTTACGCCATTGTCCCGGATGCCTTTTCACTCTCTTAATTGAAGTTAAGGGTGTTCATCAATCGATTCAAATCACGGTGATCGAACCCAAAAATCGATAACCGAATAAATCGAAAATAAAAAATAAAAATAAAACTCAAATTTTAATTGAATTGGATCAGTTTTTGAATTAGTTTATGAAAACCAATCTAATCCAAACCGATCCAATATATTAATTTCTCTTTACCTACTTGGACATTTCCTCAATCATAGCCCAAAAATTTCTAAACCCAATATCCATTAACCTATCAACTAAACCTAAGAAAAAATCTAGTGGCGTCTCATCAACAACAACAAAATTTCATCTGTGTAGAGCTTCATATCTCATTGCTAAAAAAAATTATATTATCGTTTAATGATGCTTTTGTATTTCAAAAAAAAAATTACAAAGGCAATATATATATATATATATATATATATATATAATATGTTATTTGCACAATAATAATCTTGAAACAAATTTTAGAATTTTCAAAAAACCGAAAACCAATCCAATCCAAACTGAAAAAAATTGAATTGGATCGGATCAGATTTGAAAAAAAATCCAAACCGAATGGATGATTACATGATTAAATCGAAGGGATTAAATCAGATGATCTTTGTCGATTCAATCCAAACCGCGAACATCCGTAATTAAAGTACCTGATTGAAGGATTTTTCTAATGTGCTCCAGGCTCACAATACTATACCATGGTCCTTTACTAAAAAAGGATAAAAAAATTCCATTTATATTTTTTTTTTTAAATTCCATCTCAATCCATTTTTTTTATTATTTTTAGAAAGGGAGCTTCTGCTCCTGGATCATGTTAAACTCACTCCTGATTGAATTAGTTTCTAATTTAGGCAGCCAAATTATGTATAGATAACCCATTTATGCCATTGCTGACATTAACAATTGAGACATCTCGTACTCAGGAATCTCACGGAAATGAGACTTACAGCTTCTCTATTGTGTAGCCTTATAGCTACTAATAGCAATATTAATAGGAACAGTGACCAAAATGTTACTGTTCACCAACTTTTTTACCTAAATATCACGCGAACAGTGTTATTTTTCAATCTGCCACGGGGGCAAGTTCGCTACCCGGTGTAGCGAACTCGGTTTGCTGACGTGTCACGTTTCTAGTAGACACCAAGTTCGCTACTCGGGGTAGCGAACTCAGTTTTAACCAAGTTCGCTACCCAATATAGCGAACTTCTCACCTTTTTTTTAACTTGGTACTTGTTATCCACTAGAAATGTGACACGTCAGCAAACCGAGTTCGCTACACCGGGTAGCGAACTTGTCCCTGTGACAGATTGGGAAATAACATTGTTCGCGTGGCATTTAAGTAAAAAAGTTGATGAAGAGTGGCATTTTGGTCAGTGTTCCAATATTAATAAATGACAAAAAAAATTAAATATTACAAATTAAATAAGAAAATTTGAAAAAGTATTATTTTAGAATCTATTAATGTATAGTAATTAGTCATGTCCAAAATGGAGAGGGATGGGTCATGCTTACTTTTCGGCGCGTTAGGGGAAGGGTCGTCACACGATGATGATACATGGCATAAAATTTTTAACAGTTTTATCGTAAAACTTTGAAAGGCCATAAATTTTGACTCGAATGTCTGAATCAGATAATCTTTTTTTTTTCGTTTCACGTTACTTTTCAAAATCTTTGCATTGGCAAATACCGAAAGGAAATTTGGTCTAAAAAATACTTCATCGTGTCCTGTTTGGTACATTTTATCTCTGTGAATGTGAATTACGTTACATCCACTAAGTGAAAGTTAAAAAATACACATTTCATTGTAAAAATAACTTTAAAATTGTGTATTTTATTATCTAATTTTTTCATTGGAAAATTCATATAATCATCATTGATCAGATCTCAAATAACAAATTTGAGTTGAAGTTTCGTCTTCCACAAACACAATTCGAATTTAGAACAATAGTGCCACAACCACAATAGCGTTTAAACTCAGAAGCCCCCGAGTTCTTTTCGAATCAACACCATGAGTTGTGACACGTGCCATGAATTTCTTAACAGTGTACAAAATTTTGGGATATAAATACCGACCTTGTGACGAGTTGGATAAGTTTTACATAATCTCTCTTGTCCATTAATACAATTATTTGATAGTGTTGGAAAGTAAAAATAAGAATAGAAATTAAATAATATCATTCACATTTACAGAGATAAAATGTGCTAAATGAGGCACAAGAAAGCATTTTTTGGAGAAAAAAAATTGTCCAAATCCTCTCCGAAAATTGCCAGTACATAGATCTCAAAAAGTTACATGAAATAAAAAAAAATACCTGATTCGGACATCCAAATCAAAAGTAATGACCTTCCGAATTTTTACGGTAAAACTGTTAAAAAAAAATTTATCACGTCTAATCATTGTATGAGTTGCGTCCAAAATGAGGTACGACCCAACCACTAACATGCCCAAAAATAGGCGCGACTAGTCCCGCTCCATTTTGAGCGCAACTGATTGCTATAAATTCATAAATAGGTTCCAAAATGCTATTTTTCATATTTTTTATTTAATTTGTAATATTTAAATTTTTCTGCCGTTAATAGATTATTGCTAACTATGATTTTAATGTTTTCTTTTGCATATTCTTTGGTTGTTTAGATTTAATTAGGTGACGCTCTCAATGGACTTTATTATAATTCAACCAAAGGTATAAATATTTTACCACTAATAAGGAAAAATATTAATTATAATTTTTTTCTAAATGTGTTGTAAATAGTTTGAAATTATTTAACGCTATTGCTCACTTTATTTTGTTAGTCATCTTGGATCAAAAGAAAAGAAAGTATATACTAAGACATAATTTACCCACTTTAGTCCTAATGTTTTATGATCTTATTGTATAAAAACAAAAACAAAAACAAAAAAAATTAGCTCTGTTTGATTAGTGTTTTTAAAAACAGTTTTTTAGTTTTCAGAACAAAAAAACTCGTTTGGTAAGGTCTGTTTTGGAAAAAATATTTAAAAAATTATAACTATTTTTTTGTTTTTAGAATCAAATTTAGAGAATATGTCTGAGTTGTTTTTGTTTTCTGTTTTGGTTTTTAATTTTCAAAACAAAACAAAAAATACAGAAAACAACTATTTTTATAACTATTCTACAAAATAGTTTTAAGAATAAAAAAATCAAAACACAGTCAAACAGGCCCTAAAGTTTTTTTATTTATTTACCCTTATTTTTCTACATATGCATGCCCATTTATTGAAATTGTCACCTCTAATTTCAACGTTGAATTTTGTGTTGAATAAAAAATTTCAATACATATAATGTGATTGTGTTTCAAATATATTATCCAGCTTAGACCCATTAAGCATTAGGCCTAATAACCCAGGGAAAAATCATAAACCCTTTTTGGGACTATTAATAGCCATACATAAGAGATATCTTCACCTTCATTCATCAATGGCAATTATGAAAATATTCTACCTTACACATTATGCATGTTGTTCATGCATATTGACTTAAGTATCAAAAAGCCTTGCAGGTGCACAACCCTCTTGTTCCACCAGAGCACATGGAGAAGTATCCTGCCGCCACCGCCATCAAATTTACACCATGAAAACTCAATACCACACACTATGATAATGTATACAAATCTATTCAGACTATAAAAGAGAAAGACATATAAGAGCCTTTTCCAAACAATAATATTTCTGGACAGTGAGGGTAACCATCTTAATTCTTAATAGGAACTTTTAACACGGGAGCAAAACATTGTAACATAAAAAAAACAAAAGACAGACGACCAAAAAAAGTAGAAGAAATCATATGCTTTTGATGAGCAGCTAGCAGTACAAATACATAGAAGCTACTTCATTATTAATAAAAAGCAAATAGTGACAAACATGACATTATTCATTAAAAGTATAGATAATAACTAACGGTGGGCATGGATTAAACCGTTTCAATTATGAATCGAATTGTTTTTATTTTTTCAGAACCTATTCGAAACCTGTTTAAATTGGTTCAAAAATGATTCGGAACTAATTTAGAATCAGCTTATATTTCAAAATCATTTCAAAACCCATTCGGGTATGCAAACACATTTTGATAAGGTTAGACATTGGTATCGAACTAGGGCATGGGTAAACCCCCAACCTCTTTGATAATTTCTATGAGGGATTAAAGATCGCACCACCAATAAGGTTTTTATATTAGCCAGCGAGATTTGAACTCGCGCCTTTTTGGGGTATGACCCTGATCCTTAATCAATTTCATCCACTCTCGTTGGTAGAAATGACAATATAGGTTGAACTCAATAGGTTAACCTGCCAACTGGCCATAATTTGATGGGTTGGATTATACTATTCAACCCAACACAACTCGCCCCGAACATAAGCAGGTTAAGGGCAGAACCGAGCAAGTCAACCCGTGGGTTAGCGCTTTTTTTTTCAACTCAACTTGTCATCTTCATATATATAATATCTCATAGTTTCTTCAACAACATATTCATGACTTCAGTAACATATATACAACATATTTGACTTTATATTTGAATATATTATAGTTTTGTTGCACAAACCATCATTGCAGCTAAGGATGGCGAATTCAGATTGACACGACACAACATAGCCCAAATTCGACATGAACAAAAATACACTCAACATGAACACAACACAAATTTAAAATCGGGTTAAAACCCTCGACGCGAACATGACCCACTTATTTTGCAGGTTGACATGACACAACACGAATAACCCACAACCTCAAAGTGTGTCACTTACTATGCAGGTGGACATAACATGACATGACACAAATAACTAGTAAATCTCAAAGTGTGTTGCTTATTATGTAGGTTGACACGACACGATTAAACACGAATAGCCTATTTATGATATGACATGAATAACCTGTAATAAGATTAAAGCACGTCAATTTTGGGTTTGCGGATTGACATGCGATATGATACAAAGTTTTTCGTGTCAATTTTTACCAAACATAAACCTAACACAAATTTGAAAACAGATTGATCCTAACACGAATTTTTCATGTGGTGTTAAAAATTGCCACCCCTAATTGTAGCTGAAGATTGAGTTAATAGAAACCAAAAGACTGGCATTTCCATGCAAGATACTATCTTTAAAGAAACTTTTAATAATAATATTTGTACAAATTTACACATTATACACATTTCTCACTCAATCACACGAGTTATTGGATAATGTAGTATTCCTAATATGATTTTTTATTTTAATTATTAAACAACTAATTAGGGAAAAATAGGCGGGTTGACCTGCAAAACTGCCTCAAAACAAGGGGGGTTGGTATTTCCAACCCACTCATACATAGTGGGTCAGCCCGCCCCACCCTATTTTTGGTGGGACGAGGTAGGTTGATCTGTTTTGTCATCTCTAATCGCTAGTTGCCCTAAATGTAGTTTTTGAATGAAGCAAAAATGTGAAAGAGCAATGATTGTGTTTTTTACTTTGATGAGGATGAAGAGTGTTGTGAACAACAGCAACCTTGCAAGAAGAAAAATAGAGTGAAACAGTAGAAAACAGGTGTTGCATCGTGAGTTTAGTGAGAGAAGGAGATAGAAATAATAAGAAGAGAGAAAAACCATTTACACATCTGATTTTCTCTAGCAAATCCAATGGTGACATTTTGTCAGAATGAGTTAAAATTTCAAAAAAGTGTTTTTGACATCCAGTACTTCATATGCAACGATCACTGAGTGATTTGAAGGTCTTTAGAGCAAAAAAATCAGACTCCAATTCTCTACAGTTTTTGCATAACCTTCTTCCTAGCTTTTCTCTTAATTTCCACCAATTTGTTGATGATGATTGATTCCTCTATTGCTAGTGAAAGTTCTTTAAGGTATTCATGGATTATTTTTCTATGTTTGGTTCTTCTTTTGATACATGTTTGGCTAACTTGTCTTGTGTTTTGCAGCTCTGTCGAGAAACTAACCTAGTTTTAAACTGGGAAAAATGTCATTTCATGGTAAGAGATGGCATAGTCTTACGACACCAGATTTCTAAAATGGGGATTGAAGTTGATAGGGCTAGGTTATTGATTATTGAAAAACTCCCCCCTCCCCCTAATGCTAACGGTGTTCGAAATTTTCTTGGAGATGTAGTTTTTGATGATGCATGTCTAACTGTCTCTAATTGTTTGAACGAAAAGCTAACCACAACACCTGTTTTGACAACACCGGGTTGGAGCCTCTAATTCGAGCTCATGTGTGACGCAAGTGACTATGCTATTAGGGCAGTTCTCAGGCGGCGTGAGGACAAGCTTTTATGTGTCATTTACTATACTAGTAAGGTTTTAAATAAGGCACAAAATTATTATGCCACCATTGAAAAAGAAATGCTAGTTGTAGTTTATGTATTACATAAGTTTAGGTCTTATTTGATTGGTTCAAAGGTTATTATGTTTACTGACCACACTTCTTTAAGTATCTCAGGACTAAACAGGATACCAAGCCACGCTTGCTTCTTGGATGCTTTTATTCAGGAATTTAATGTGGAAATTCGAGACAAGAAAGGAGTGGAGCATTTAGTAGATAACCATTTGTCTAGGATTCAAGCTAAAGAGCTGTAAGATGGAGCTGAGATAGAGATTTGTGATGAGTTTCCGGATGAACAAGTGTTGGAAGTCACCCTCAGGCCATGGTTTACAGATTTTGCTAATTACAAAGCTATTGGAGTGATCCTAGAAGATTTCACATGGCAGCAGAAGAAGTTCCTCCATGATGTAAAGCAGTACTTGTGGGATAAACCTTTCTCTATTTTACATGTGCTGATTGCATGCTTAGAAGGTGCGTACCTGAGGAAGAGATGAAAAAGATATTGTGGCACTGTCATGGATCAGAATATGGAGGACACTTTGCTAGGAATAGGGCTGCATAGAAAGTCTTGCATAGTGGATTCTACTAGCCCACTTATTCAAGGATGCGCGAGAGCTTTTGGAAAGTTGCGACAAATGTCAAAGCACTGGAAACATCTCAAGGAGGAATGACATGCCCTTGAACAGCATACTGGAGGTTGAAGTGTTCAATGTGTAGGGCACAGACTTCATGGAACCCTTTTCCTAGCTCTTACTCTAATGTGTACATCTTGGTGGTCGTGGATTATGTGTCAAAGTGGGTGTAAGCAACTACTTTTCCAACAAACGATGCCAAGGTGGTCGTGTCTTTCCCAAGAAAAAACATCTTCACAAGATTTAGAGTCCCCCGAGCTATTATTAGTGATGGAGGATCCCACTTCTGCAACAACCAGTTCCATAGACTGCTCACCAAGTATGAGTTACTCATAAATTGGCAACACCTTATCATCCTCAGACGAGTAGGCAAGTGGAGATTTTGAAGCGGGAGTTGAAGTAGATCCTGAAGAAGACTATGGAAGTTCAAGGAAGAACTGGGCAAAGAAGCTTGACAATGCACTTTGGGCATACCGGACAACCTTCCAAACTCCCATAGATATGGCACCATTTCAGCTGGTATACGGTAAATCTTATGACCTTCCTATTGAATTAGAACATAAATCAATGTGGGCCACAAAATTTCTGAATTTTGTTTTAAAAACAGTTGATGAGAAAAGAGACAACTAGCCATTAAATTAAATTCAGTCATCTATGGTCGACTACAAAAGCAGCATAGTATTTACAATTCTTTTTTTAATAAATGGTAATTACAATTTTAAGAATTCTAAAAAATATTCAACATACCATATTAGAGGCCCAAACTTTCATGAATTCAATTCTAGAACTGAGACGGTAGCAACATCAAAGGCTGGATATACTATATAGTTTACACAGTTCCTGTGTTGGAATGATTGTCAGAAAAGCTGGATAGCATTGACACCTAAAGAACAACACAAAATAACATACAAGAAGACCATCAAGAGTGCAGAAATCATCAATTTCCGCAGCAGAGTCTACTGATCATGGCTCAAAAATACCAAAGATGTCATCATTAACCAGTCTAACATACCTGGAGCACGATGAAATACATATCTAAAAGGCATTAGAAAAAGTCACAAACTTTTTTTTGACATGATTTAACTTTGCAAGCACTTTCTATTCAATTTCACATGCTTTGCCAAAAGACAAAAGGTCCAGTCTTCTCATCTTCAAACTTCCTAAATGAAAATTCAGAAATATATGCGACAAACTGGTTCCCCTTATATAACCACCCGAAAGAAAATAAATGATTGTCGCACTTGAAATAATAAAGGAGGTGGAACAAATGAAATTAAAACTTTTGCAAGAAGCGAAGGATAAAAAATAGAGTGCAATCTCATCACACATTATATATATGCGGTGAATGAATGCTAACCTCTACTTGAGATGAAGGTTAGCATCGACCATCGTTACCCTTTCAGTTGGTCAAAAGACTTTTCTTATTTAACTTAATTAATAGGACCATTTTAATAATTCCAAATCTCAGATTTTATATCAGAATTGTACAATTTTAACCAATACAAATAACTGTCATCTCATAAACGAGAAAAGTTTCTGTGATCCTGGAAATGAAATATGGGTGAAAATAAATAAAAAGGAAAAGATGGTATAAAAATGTTACATTTTATTCTATTTAGTAAAAAAAAAGCACTGAATATTCTGTGGTCCTAAAACACAGAAACTTTTCTCCTCATAAACCACTTTAACCTCTACTCCTGAAAAGGTTGCTCCGTCACATTGGTATTGGTTCCTAGCAATAATTTGACAATTAATTGGATTATGCCAGACTTTATTCATAAATCCATTAAAAGATGTAACTAATCACACCCCCTTTTCTATTGATCGTAATCCAAAGTCATGGTTCTATGCTTGATCACTAGAACAAAGGAAAATTCTAGGTCACAGGGAGACGAAGGAAGCATATTTAAATTAGAAGAGGATGCCAAATCAATTCCCATCTGATAGTTAGCTCCGTCATCCATTAATGGAGGGAGTCATCAAGGGAAACCTCAAACGTAGTTGATGAAGGCATCTAGAAAAAGCCTTCGGGTTGGGCATCATGCAGCCCAAATGAGCACAAAAAGGAAGCAGATGTTGTAAAGCAATGAAGATGGCAAGCCCTCCCCTAAATACCGAGTCCTAGCGACTTCTGTATATATACAGCAATTTTCTATGATAGCAAGCAGGGAAGTTTTCACAAGGAATTGAAATATTATTAGTTCATGTGAACGAGGGAGGTGTATTTTTAATTGGTAGTCATATGTACTGACTAATATTATATTTTTTAGTAGATAATTTTTTTAATTTGTAATTACTAAAATGGCCCTGCTATTTAAGTTGAATAGGACAAGACAAAAGGAAGCCCTTCTGTCCAACTAAAACACTGATGGATGCTGACCTCAGATAAGGAGAGAAGGTTAGAATTTCCGTTATTATGTATATATAACAACCTAAACCAAAAGGATAGCATAACAAATGTTTTAAAACACAGACACGTACACACAAATGTGTCTCTTGATATTCAAGACATTTTTCAACAAAAAGCATAATTGCCTTATTTATATCAAAACTTACCACACAACAGAATTTGAGAAATTGTCACTAGCATATGGTGCTTGAAAAACAATGGAAAGAATAAAAAAACAAAATTACCTACTATGTTGAATAATTTACATAGCATTACTATTCTAAAACAAGAAGCAGCAATTTAAGGCCACATAAACAGAAAACACCCCAAGAAAATCCTAGTAAGATCTACATTGAAAATGGAATGTAAGCCTAGCAAAACCTACGCATTTTACACATCTTCAATCCAAGTATTGTTCCAGTGCCTGACACAATCTTTAAGCTGTTAAGCATGACGCATTACACCTTTGGCTTCTTTAGGTGACCATTGCGGTTTTTGATCAGATTATTGCCTCAGAATAAATCATATTACACCTTGAACTGTTAGGTACAAATATGTTAACCAATAAATATTCAAGAAACAGGCACTGATCATGCTACATCCCAAGTAGCACTCCTATCACTTTGCACTTACCACCTATTCACTACAATAAAAATTCTAAAATACAACAGAAAGAGAAGCAACCTAGTAACCTTCAATGCAAGGTGAACAAATAATTTTTCACAATTCCATTTGCCTGGTGATTCACAATATGTTTCAAGAACCATCCCAAACAAGTTTCAATGACATAACAGTAAGGGACATCCCTACATGTCCACACCATTAGATATTCTCACTCTCCATCAACAGCGATTTAATTCTCAGCCAGTGTCAATACTACATCCAAAAGTAGAAAATAAGGAGATCTCCTCAAGGTTACCCAAAGTAGCAATTACTTAATATCATTAAGGAACCAAATCAATCAAATGGATCATTTGCCCCATAACCATAACAGAATCCATGATCATTGATCCAAATTAAGGTTAACCTTTCACTGAATTTAATCCGTAGTCTCATCTTCCAGCATATTCAACAAACAAAAAACATTCCATAAAAAGGCTGCTTCCACATGGACATCAATAAATATTTAAACGGACCCAACCCAATCAAAAGAACTTCAAAAATAGGGTAATGCTTTCAGTTCAGATCAAAATATGACTCCTAATCATGAAAGTGAGCAACAAGCAAACTCTCGAGAACCTTCATACAAATCACAAGAGCCTCCATATGTATATTCAAATATCAAACCTGGTCTATACTTTGTAAAAATATAAATCCATCACCTGAAGGATTTTGCTTCCAATACTCCTATGAACTTTCTGATCATCAAAATTATACTTGATGAATCATAAATTATATTGTACATTCAACAAAGCATCCTCAACTACTAACTAGTCCCTGATCTCCTCAGACCTAAGTAATCGAAGGAAATCTAGCCCATTCCATATAAGTCTTATCAATACCTGAGAGAAATAACCTCCCCCCCCACACACATTAAATAACTTAGTCTATACCACCTATGTTCTAATAGATATATAGAAACAAAAACAGGTGGAATGGGAATAAGAGAGAAGTGCATAAAGTAAATATGCAACTTCAAAATTGTATGCTCTAGCCGCATGCTTGTAATTGAAGATGTCCATTCCACAATTCCTGATCCACCTAAACATGATTGAAGTTCCAGGAAACATTAGAAAAGAGAATTCATTGGTGCAAATTATAATATAAAATTCTAAAAAATAATCCTTACCAAAAGGTTCCTCATACTAATAATAGTATCCATGTCCATGAGAGCCATCACCCCCATAAAAAGATGAATATGGACCTCCACCATACTGCAACATGAATAGCATAATACATCACTAATATTACAATTAAATTATATGAACAATAAAATAGGTTAACAATGTTCACTCACATCAGAACCATAATAGTCATGTGGGTACTGTCTGCTGCCGGCCCCAAGAGAATCTATATATCAAAAAGAGTGATCAAGAATATAACCATGCTATTGTGTAAGTAGAGGGAAAAAAGGAAGCTAAGTTTAGACCATGGTATCGACTTCCATGAAATATAGACGGATCTGCATAATCCAATCGGGGACGAAGTCTATTAGGCCCCATGTAATCAGGTTCAGGGTCCTAAAAATAAAGAAGTATAATTGAAACTAATTAGTATTTTTCAAGTTTTATACAGTTAAAATAATTATGAAAGGAAATACAACCACAGATATAAGTAAGTTAATATAATATAAAATCTTACAGTCATATAAAATGGTCGTTTCATCCCATGCATGCTGTCATCCTCAAGATATGGATCATCAAAATGCCTTCCCCTAAAAGGCACATCAAACTGTCTACCTGGTGAGTAGGGCCTTCTTGGAGGAATAGGCTCACTAGGGCCACCATCACGGATACCATACCATGCTCTATCATGATAACGTCTAGATGGACCAGCAAATGCAGCACCTCGGCTACCTGCATGATGTCCACCCCTTGCAGCTCCTGCTTTACAATATAGTAAAATATTAAAATCATCAAAAAATCTTCACACCAATGCATTGAAACGCTGAAAGAGACATTTGCTAAAAATATAGCTAGAAGCTCAACAATTGACCTTGGGGGCCAAATTGCCTCTGACGGAAATCTGGATACATATTAACATCAAGGTCATCCCGCAAACCCATTCTTTCAATTTGACTGCGTCCACCATGATAGAAACTCCTGTCCCTGTTGAAATTTCCCCAGTTGTTGAAGGGATGTCTTCCCCGCCCAAAACCCCTTCCTGTAGGAATTGTGATTCGATAAATCAAAATGATGTCAAAAAGATAATAAAAGTTCCAAGTTAAGGAAGTATAAAAACTTATTTACCAGGTCTTGGAAAGGATCCACCCCTAGAATGACCAATTCGGAATCCACCACACATGCCACCCTTGACTGCCTGTGTTTTAGGCAAAGGATTTGAAAGCCTAGCTCTCACTTTTATCTGAAAAGCATGGAAAAAAAATGAGCCCTATTCGCCAAATGCAAAAGTAGAGCAAAATCAAGTCAAAATTAAAAGAAAAACAAAATATTAGAATGTTATATGGGCATACATAGGATAAAAAATAAGCCAAATATACTGATAGGGTCATGAAAATTAGGCTTTTGAAAGAGGCGGAGGGAAAAGGAGGAGGGAAAGAGATCAATTAAGAGGCAATTCCTTTCCAATTCTCTACAATTTAAAAACAACGCAATCAAAGTTATTAGGATTCCACTCTCTACCCCATATTGGTAAGAGTTCTTTAAAACTAAACAGGGGGAAGGGAAAGAAAAGGAAAGAAGAGAATAATCTTGTAAGAATGCAAACTCATGGTCAAGTAAAAACAAGATTATATACCTTTGATGCCCCATCACCCAATTCTGATTTATTTACACCATCAACACAAGCTACAGCAGCTTCATGTGTAGAAAAATCAACAAATCCATAATCCTTCCTCTTAGCTGTAGACATATTCCGAGCTAGTACAATTCTTATAATTTCACCATAAGATTTAAACAGCTCCCTCACGATATCTTCCTCCCAGTGAGGAGGGAGACCATTAATAAAGACAGACTTCACTTGTGCCATTATCTCTGGATCTGGTTCGTGTATGGGTTCAGCAAAAGCTACCTTGGCAGTTCGCTCAGCATGGCCAAAGACGACATCAGGCTTTTGAAGCCTCTTGTAGGCAAGCATGGCATCAGCATGACAAGAGAACTCAAGGAATGCAAAGCCTCGGCTCAATCCTTCATGTTGAACATCTGGGACAAGTGTAATTTTTTCAACCCCTTCAATACCATAATCCTTCAACTTCTGTTTAATCTGCCACCAATGTAATAATAAGAGTGCAAAAGAGGGACTTGTTAATGGCTTGAGGAAATACTCATCAACACCTTCTATTTTTGCATGATTTACAATATTAAATATTAGGAAACTAAGAAAATAAGGAAGGTAGGAAATAATACAAATCAAATCCTGATTATGTCCCTAAATAGGAGATATAGGAAATACTTCCATAAATATGAGATAATTTCCAACAAAGAGAATAAGTTAACAAGCCAGGGAAGTAGATATATGCAACAGAAAAAACTGCTAGATACTTACAGCTTCTTTTGTCCATGTATTGCAAATATTTCCCAAGAATAATGTATCATTATCCTCACTGGGTGCAGTGCCACATCGTTTACCATGTATCTGTAAACAATGGAAGGTAAGAACACAGTGCAAAAGAAAGAGAAGATACCACAAATATCAAAGAAATGACCAATCATAAGAAGAGAAACGTACAACAGGGTTCTTCATTTCAGACAAAGCTTTCTTTGCATGTTCCTTATTAGCAAACTTTACAAAAGCATAGCCTTTATTTTTATTTGTTGAAGAATCTTTATGCAACCTGACTTCAACTACCTCACCAATCCTCTGAAAAACCTTTCTCAAATCTTCTTCTGTAGCATCACGATCCAGGCCGCCAACAAATATCTCATGTTCTTTCTTAATCTTTCGCTGCTTTGCAATGGCCTCCAATTCCATATGCTCCTGTTCGAATGCCTCAGTTTCTTCTGGAGGATCCTCCATATCTTCTTCAAAATGTTCCTCCCCATCTTGTTCTCCAAGATCTAACTTTTCACCATCCTTTGGTCCTTCATCGCCATCTTTTTCAGGATTAACATCTTCTTTTAGCAACTGGGCTTTCACTTCTACACTATAAGACTCAGTGTTAGAGTGCTCTTCGTGTTCAATAATGTTTGTTTCTTTTCCCTTTCCTTTCTCTCCCTCATTATCCTTCAACTCTTCCTTTCCTTTCTCTCCCTCCTGACCCTTCAACTCTTCGTTTCCTTTCTCTCCCACCTGTTCCTTAAACTCTTTCTCCCCCTCCTGTTCCTTCAACTCCTCCTTTCCTTTCTCTCCCTCCTCTTCCATCTTCTCTTCCTCCCCCTCCATTGCACCAGAACAATCTTCATTATCCGCAGATATATTGAGGTCCACAATGGTGCACCCTGCATTTTTAAAAGAACCAGAAGCATCCAGAGAAACAGTTTCTTCAACTTCCACTACGTTCTTCCCCTTATCCGCCGATTCGCAAACTTTCACAACAGGTTCATCCATTTCCATGGACATTTGTTCCTTCTCATCAGATAATCCAACAGGCTCAACACCTTGTTCCCCTTCTTTCTCACTCTCAACACCTCCAGGTTCTTCCACTTTCTCTGCAGCCTCAAAATCATCCACAATCGGAGTTTCATCAGCCACCGCCTCCAACTGTTCTCCCAAATTTGGAGCAGCACAAGATTTAGTTCTCGGTCTCCCTGGTGTCCTCTTCTTTGCAGATTTTGTAGTGGTAGCATTGCCCACTGATTTCTGCTCCTCTGTTACATATTCAAACAACATTAAGGCTAACGATTATAAAAGTGTTATAGCAAAGATAAATCCAGAAACGAAATCTTGCTTATAAGGCTAATGATGATTAGAGTTTCAGTATCAAATTTTTCTTTCCTTCGTTTTTTTTTTTATTTTATTGAATCGAGATAGTTATGATGTCTTACTCTCACAAAGTGAAATTCGGAAAAAATAAATAAATAAAACTTACGAGGCGATGGATCCGGATTGGAGTCGGAGATCGGGTCGGGTGCCGGCGAGGCCTCCTTCTTCGTGACGCTTCTAGTTTTGGTGGCAGGAGTGCGCTTTGCCGCAGGGGATTCACCGGCGGTTTTGGTGGCGGATTTCCTCGCCGGCGGTGTCTTCTTAGGGGTTGCGGATTTGGAAGAGGAATCGGAATTTCGAGTTCTCATTATGAGTAATCTATGCGGACTGAAGTGGAGCGACTAGTTTCCTATGTACTATAAAGCTTTGAAAACCTCAATTTTCTCGAATCGAGTCGAAAGAGTAATGGTAAATCTTGCAGATTTTATGCGATCTTGGCTAGACAGTAAATACCACAGAAGAGGGTCATTTTAACGCGTCGTTTTGGCTCCCGGTTTGGAAGTGACGTGGTCCACCCTGCAGTGCGCACTTTATTTATACCAATGCCGATTAACCTTGTATTTAGTCCTCTTAATTTTGAGATAAAACTTTTTATTTACGGAAAATATTATATTTACAATTTTTTTTTCTTATAATTTTTTACAATTATTACTTGTGATTCAAATTAACATATAAATAAAAGGTTCGCTTTTTCTGCAGTTACTGCAGATAACTTTTCTGCAGTAAGCCTAATACGACGTCGTTTTGGGGGCAGAAATCAAAGTATTTTTATAATTTATTTATTTCAGGGTTTAATAGTCTTTATATTTACAATTTTTTAAGATTTCAATACCAAAACAACATCGTTTTGGGAATAAATGCAAATAATTTATCTGCATTAATTGCAGATACATTTTTTTCATAAATAAATCGATGAATCACTTTTAAAAATAAAATATGTACCGTTGGGATCTATAAGCTCACTATGTTCCCTTTGGTGTTAGTATATAGATATCCTAGAGACAATCTTTTGATTAGATTAGGACATATGTGGACCTCTTTATATTGTCGCAAATAAATAATAAGCACTCTTTATCATGTTTCATATTTTGTCTCAATATTATTGTTAATATATTATATGAGTAACTGGATAAACCCCTCAGAATAAAATATGTATCTATTGAGTATCTGTGATGAGATCACGATCATGAGAATTTAAGGATACCGGATGTTTATTTCTAATTTTATGTTCCTAGTCTAGAGACACTGAGAATGGGGATCAATAATCTCGGGTAAGACTAGCACGACTTATCTACTTGTATTCGGATACAAGGTAAAGACCTCATGAGCTACAGATATGGAGATGTCTTAGCTAAAGTCGTGGGTGACCTATAAGGGTATAGCTCGCACTGAACAGACCCACAAAGAGACTCTATGAGGAAATCTTACAAAAGTATCATTAGAGCAGTCTCTTAATATTTGGGTATGTCTTTCCTTAGACCATAAGTTGTTACCTAGACTGTGTTCTAGAAGACATGTTTTGATTGTATACCTCGTCTTCCTGAAACATGGAGACTCGTAGGTATACTTTTGGGCATGTCCTGAAAGAGCACATGCCTAGGGTGATAAGCTGAAGGAATTCGTCAAATCTCTGTAAAGGATTAGGTTATCTATAAACCGGAGAAATTGGGCTGACATTTACAAGACTCGGGAATCTATGCATAGTAAAAGAGATCATGAGATGATATGCCTTTAGAGTCAGTAAATTGAAGATTCCATATTTCGAATTAAAGCTTACCCTAAACCGCAAGGGTTGATATGTAACCTCACCCTAGGTTTAATGGGAAGGTAACCGAGACGAAAGGAAATGCATGCGGCAACTAAATATGTGTAATAGGATGATCAAATCATTAATCTAACTAGTTCTGGGGTAACAAAATATTGTTAGTGCTCTGTGTTGTCATTAAATGGGTTGTGGGCTTGTTGGGCCCGAGCCCATTTATGTCAGTGGCTATGTTGGACCTAATGGGTTACACACTAACACCTTATTGTCATGATGATCTAGCATTAAAGGTATTGGGCTTGATAATGGTTGTTAGCCCAAGAAGAAGTTTGGAAGCCCACCTAAAAGGGAAAAGGGCGCATGGATCTTGTAGTGGGCTTGGATGGTCCAAGACATTACTAATTAATTTAATTAGTTAAATTAATTATCAAATATTTAAATTTTGAATTTTGAATTTGAAATTTGAATTTTGAAATTTGAATTTTGAATTTGAATTTTGAAATTCGAATTTTGAATTTGAAATTTGAATTTTGAAATTTGAATTTTGAATTTGAATTTTGAATTTAAATGTTTGAACGTTTGAATTTAAATGTTTGAATTTGAATTTGAATTGGCTATGAAAAGTTTCATAACAAAAGGATAAGATAAGATCTTGTTGGAACAAATCCCTTGTATCAAGAGGAGATCTTTGGAGATCACCAAGAGCTGTTTGGGGCGTTGATTTGGTGTGATTATAAGTGTCATCTAGTCAACCAAATAAGCTCCAATCAGATTTGGTTGGCTGAGAGAATCATTGAGTGAGTTGGTTCAAATTTGAATGCAACTGCTCAACGTATCTGGACCCCTTTTGGGGCTGAATGGGGTGCATAGATGGCTGGCCATATGATGGCCATTAGGTCAGAATTTTGACTAGATAAAGATCTAGTCTCATGAGGATTGTATAGTAGGTTGTTGAGAATTTTGAATTGCAACAACTCCGCCATTTCTCTCCCTTTATGTTCGCCATTTGTGATCAGAATTTGTAGAAAAAAATTCGTATTGCATCCTTGCTTGCTCTCATCCTTTTGGTGCGCCACTTTTGTTAGGTTTTTTCCTAAGTGTTTTGGAATTAACCTAGCCTTTTCTAAGAGCATCCATGCCCACTTTTGTGAAGTTTTCATGCTGAAGACTTCACTCTTCTAAACACCTTTACCTAGCCTCCTCCTTCACACATTGGACGCCTAGCAAGCTTTTGTGGTTATCAATTGGTGGCTTTTCAAGAAGAGTTCTTGCATCTTGACGTGGGGTGGTGTGGATCAACATTTTTGAACCCTTTAAACCTAACACTGATCTCCTTGGTGTTTGAATCACAAACAAAGGTAACATCATGTTGTCTTAAAGCATGAATCTTGATTGCATGTGTTATTCCGCTTGAAAATTTTTATTTTTCATCCTCACATGCCTACAGCCTTCAAGGCCATTTTCTTTCAAGTGGTATCAGAGCCCGGTTGCTTTACCATCGGCGGGTGATGGTACCTTGTTTATGAAAATTGTTTTTCACGGTCAAAAGATCTTTAAAGGGTCAAAGCTTGAATTTTTGCATATGGATTTTGAATTACAATGCTTTAAATTGTTAAAGTTTTTGTTTTTATGAACATGTTAATACGATTGCTATGTTCATATATCTATATGTAGTCATGGTTTTGTTTCTTTTTCTTTGTGAAAGTTTTAAAAGGAAACACCTTTTTTGAAAGGGATGATTCGGCCATGAAGGGTACTTAGAGTACCTTGATTGTTTTCTTATTTTTCTCCATGAATTGTATCATGAGCATAGCATGAAATTTTTTGTGACAAAATTTATCATATACATGCATATATGATTCGGCCATTAAAGGGTTTATGGCTGCATGCATGGTTTAATTTTGTGTTCTTTGAGAAAGAGTTAACAAAATTTGAATTATAAAAGTTGTTATATAATTCGGCCATTAAGAGAAAAATTAAGAAGAAAAAAAATTTGAATCATGATTCTTGTAATTACATTTTAATTATTAAAATGTTAAGACTTCTGAATGAACATATTTTATGATATTTGATATCTTGTGCTTGCAAAGTTGTCTAACCTTTCAAGTGCAAAAGAGGAAGGGGATGGTCATGGTGCCCGAAATTTGAATTTCAAATTTTTAAATTAAAGGTGTAATTTTGCTCTATTTAAATTAGAGGTGTAATTTGAATTTTAAATTTTGTAATTTTTCATTTGTCCCTCCAAAGATGTTTTGGAGTTTTTTTAATTATTTGTAATTAGAAAATTAGGCTAGTGGCGTTTAGACGACAAGCAGTCGTGGCTTGAGAAGCAAGATGGACGAATGCGCGAGCACCATGACTATCTCAAATAAAAGTGTTTTATATGCTTGTATGTTTTAAAAACGACTAGTATGCATGAAATTGGACAAATCGCGTTTGTATGTATTATTATGCACGTCCAATAACGACTAGTGTAATCCGATAGATGTTTGACATAGAATACGACTAGCATAATAATAATGCATACGCGTTTGATGAGACTTGATAAACCCTAAATAAAATGAACCCTTAAAAGGAATAAATTATTAAGCGCATGATTACCTCCCACCACCAGTATTACTCAAACCTCCTCTAAATAGTGGTGCTCCACAACTCAGTTGGGGCCCACTGTTTCGTTGAGTAAGAGTAGTATTAGAAGTGTAAGACACTTAGGGTACTGGTTAGTGCTTAACTAAGAGCATGAGTTGCAGGCTCAGCCGGGCTCATGTGCTTAGGGTAATAGTGCTAGGTTGGTTGCATGAGATGCACCACTAAGTGACAAGGAGTTGTCAACCTAATGTTAAAAGAGGGTATGAGATATTGTTGATAAGGATCAACCCATATTTAATTTAATCTTGCGGTCTCAGACGAGGGTTAAAATAAATAATCGCACTCTTAAATCCCACTAAGGTAAAATCTAAAAGTAGAACAACCCTAAGTCAAAGTTTAAGGGTCGTTGACTTAGATAAAATAGTGGGAGGGGCATATTATTTAAAGTCTTTAATAATTTGCTCTTATTACACGACAATATATATTAATTAATCTATCTTTACATTTTTCAATTTTTAGTACGACTAATCTACTGTCACTGCGCTCAATACTCGATACGAACAAATTAATCGGTCCTAATTTTATGGACTGGTATTGGAACATCAAAAATGTTCTGCGGGTCGAAAAAGTTGTTTATGTTCTTGACACTACTTTACCTATTACGCCTAAGGAAGGGAAATATGGGTTCGCGAAATTTGATTTTCGAGGCCCACAAGCAACACATGGATGATAATGTGTTGGCTTGTTGCATCACTCTGGCATCCATGTCGCATGAACTGCAAAAGCAGCACGGACATATGGATGCCCCCTCCATTGTCCTTCATCTCAAGGAGTTGTATGATAAGAAGGATAAGCATGAGAGGTATGAGACCTTTAGGGAATTGTTCCTATGCAAGATGACTGAAGGCATGTCCTTTAACCGCCATGTCTTGAAGATGATAGCGCTCATTGAGAAGCTAGAGGGTCTAGGCTTCATAATGGATGCTGAATTAATTAATGACTTAGTTCTATCATCACTTCCTCCTTCTTTCGGTGAATTCATTATGAATTACAATATGC